GACGTTAGGAGAGAAACACTGCAAAGCGGCCCAAATATCCAAAAACAAAAAAAAAATGCTGAGAGGGGAATAAAAAATAAGTCACTTGCTCAGTTCACTCAAGCAACTCTATGCAGAAAAGCACATGCTGAAGAGCCATTGAAATGACCAGATAAGTGTGTGATTAAAGATTAAATACGTGCCCAAATGTGCTCGTGAATCGGGGGCTCCTGGCACATGCCGCATCCCCGCTGCGGTGGTGCCATGTCTTTGAAATGACCCTCAGGGGCTCATATACTAGCTCAGTCCAGCTGTAAAATAACTCCTAGGACTAATGGTTAAACCCTGCAAAGCGTGAATTTCCTCTTTAAATAGATTTACAGTAAATTAATAGGGTTTTTTTTTTTTTTTTTTTCAGCCAGTGCCTTGCAACCTGTTTGTGGAAGCATCATTTTAACGTGCCTGGTAATTGAAAAAATTGTCAAGTGATGGAATTTATTATCCTCTCTGACCTGTATTTTTCATGCGAAGCCATGGGAAAGATCTGATGATAAGCATATTTTTGGAATAAGGAACTACCTAATATATAAGTGTTTGGTGATGCTTCTAAGACACAGCTTTGCCCCCTCCCCTTCCGAAAAGAAAGACGCTGCAGTCCCAGAAAATGAATACTTAGTAAAAGAGACCAATTTAAATAGCTTGAGGTGGATGATGATGACTGAGTAAAATCATTGAGGTATGGAGGCAAATGCAATGCTGTTGTGAAGAATACTCTCAGCACCACTATATCCCATCAAACAGTGGTCCTGCTGCATGGTGATATTGCTGGAAGTCAAGAAGTGCTGACATTTTAAGCCTGTAACCTTAATTCTGCCCTTGGACATGTTTGTGACGGTGCTGTCTTTGCTAACATCAGTGCTGCTTCTCTAATGGGAAAAGAGGTCTGATATTTTACAATACCCTGACTTCTTGTAATTCTTCAACCTGTATGTTCCCGGTCATACTCTGGCATAAGGGAGACCCACTTGTGCACCTGGCAAGGGTCTTTTTGCTGTAAGAACCTGAGAGCAAAGGTGGGGTAGCACAGGAGATGTGGGGAGATGGAAAATATTAGGTCACCAAGTCTGAGTGGGGGGAAAGGGAATAAGACAAAGAGGAATGCAAGGACTAGAGGATAAAACAAAGTGCAGAGAGAGAAACACAACCAAGACTGCTTTCCTCTCTGCTTCTGATCTAGCAGAGCATTTGAGCAGTCAGAGACAAATTTCCAAACCAAATGTCAAACACCCCCAGCCATTCCCGTCTTCTGGATTCCCATGAAATGTCTATTCGAGGGGGTTTCAAGTGGTCCATTTTAAAATGTACCTCTCTGTCTACAGTCAAGCTGTCCCCCAATAACTACCACCTTTATACCCAGACCTGAGCAGGGAAGAACTCGGTACGTCGGGGTGGGCAAAATGCAGCCCACGGCTGGATGTGGCCTTCCAGGCCATTCTACTTGGCCCGCGGGGCCCCTAAAAAATTTAGAAAATTAATATTTATTTGCCCCGGGCTGCCTGTCATGCAACCCTTGATGGCTTGCCAAAACTCAGTAAGCAGCCCTCTGCCCAAAATAATTGCCTGCTTCTGCTGTACGTGCTTTCACCATATACAGATCATGCTCAGAGTTGCAATGCATGTCAACCATTTTGCATCTGTAGCAGCAAAATGCATGCCCCCGAACATCTTAATGACAGAGATGAATATTTAACTCTGTTCAATAATATATTCTTTGTTGGTTTCCACACACAGATGCCATGAAATATGCATTCTCTTCCTGCTCCTTTTTGTCCTTGGTCTTTTCACTGTAATTATTTATAAATCAGAAGTTGTATTGATTGGAGTTTTGTATCTACGACTGGTGTATGAGGTGCAATTGCTGTAGTAGTTGGAAAACAAGCTGCCATATAATTGTGGTAGTTATAGACTTGACAGTACCCTGTGCTTTACTTCAGAGAAAGGTTAAGGTGAATTTTAATTTGCTGAGAACTTTACCCAGGCATCTAGTGCCTGTAGTAGATCAAACAGGTGATTGAACAAGCTTTCATTTTAGAAGAGAAGCATATTGTTGGACTCCATTTCTAAAAGCTGTTTCAGCTGGAAGCGGGTGGGGGAAAGGGTTAAATGTTTTTTCCTTTTTGATTCAGAAAAGAATGATTCTGACATTTAGCCAGGACAAGAGAAACAACCCGCTGGAAAGTGGCCTGTCGGTGATGGCAGAGTCTAATCACAGTTGGCCAAGCTGAAGCCAACGCACAGTTGGCCAAGCTGCCTTGGCGAAGGATATGCTGTATGCCTGTTCCTTAGAGACCCCGTGGTGCGAAGCTGAGACGTCTTGCACACGTGGAGAAATTGGCTGGCTGAATTAGTGTGATGAGACAATGAGCCGTGTTAGGAAGCCATGGGGTCCAGTGCCCCATGACCATGGTTGTACTACTGCTAGGTCAGGAGAGGGCATGAGCATCTCAGCCGCCTTAGCTTGTGAAGATGTTTTCGTAGTCCTACAGCTCTTGTCCACTATTTGGTACAGAGACGTGTCCCCACTGTGTGGGGAGCCTTTTTCCTACTAGTTAGATTGAAATTAAAAAAAAAAAGACTAGTGACTTTTGTGTGCCCAGTTTTGGGTGCTCTGCTTGATGTGCAGTCAAAGGGGCTTGAGAGTGATCGGGATATAGATATCTGGATATCTGTATCTGTTGTATCTGGATATAGATATCTTTCAAGACCCTTTGACTGCACCCCCAAAGGGCCTTACTCCCACTTGGTACCTTCTAATATAGATAGATATAGAGCTAAAGATGCAGAGATATAGCTATGGCCCTTTGACATTATATAATATGTGTGTATATGTCAAAGGGCCATAGCTATATCTCTATATCTATATATAATTACAAGGTATTAAGTGTCACATTGGGAGTAAGGCCCTTTGGGGGTGCCTCAAACTGGGAAAAACCTGGGTGTCCAGAACTACTCTCTATGTGTTCTAGGCTTGTATTGAGAAAACAGAACAAATCTTCTCTCTGGTTTAAAAATAAGAGCGTTCCTCCAGCGTCAGCTGCTTTGAGCCGCGTGCTGTTGTGCAAAGGCTGCACGTCCATTTCAGATGCGCACGAAGGAAAGAAGCCAGAAATAGGAAATTATAGGTCCTTGACTAAAGGTGACTTCAAACCAGCCAACAAGTGTCGTGAAAGTAAGAGAGTCTCCTTTATATTGCTGCAAGGGTCAAGAATTTAGTAGCTGTGCTCAGTTCACGATCGTCTGATAAAAGCAAACTTTGAAAAAGAACTTGGCCAGGAGAGATTAAAAAAGAAAAGAATCCGCTTCTTAAATAAATAGGCTGCTCTCCATTGTTGCAGACTTAGCAGCTTGATAAAGGACTGCTCGAGTGAAAGTGAGCCATGAAAAGCCAGTCTCAGATCTGCGGCTGGCTCTTAAGCTATTGAGGCCAGGGGCTTTTCTTAGAACAAAAAAAATTTTGAATATAACCTAAAGTTTGACTAAGTGATTTGATTTATCGTGATGAGCACGGCAATTTGCTACACTTGCATTTTTCAGGAAGTGCTAATAAATTTTAGCTCAGAATAAATTCGAGCTATGCAAATTGATATCCCTGTCTTAAAAAAAAAGAAAGAAATGCTTGGCTATTCTGGAACTCGGAAACATGGCTTGATGTAAATTTTATAAGCAAGCAGAAGGAGTTGCTTGCTTCCAACAGCAAATGCAGCCTGTCATTTGTCTTTTTAAGAGACAGGCATCTTTCTCAATTGTATTTTTATAACTCTGTTATGTAAGGGGACTGTAGCTATCATAGCCTTCAGTTACTAAGACATTCCTCCAGATTTGACCTTAAAGATATAGCTAATTGACATGGTGAGAGTGCTTTGGTTGCTGGTTTCCATGGTTTGTGTGCGTAAATTGAGCGCCCGCTTCTCAGTTTAGAAACCCACTGTTATTCTTGCAAAATGCAGATGTGGCGGATGTAGAGTGCTAAGAGGCCTTGCCCTGAAGGCCATGCTCCAGATGGGTCCCTTTGGGGATGCAGCGGCTTACATTTCATGCAAGGATGCCTGTCGCACAGTGAGTGTCAGCCATATCCCTCGCCCTGGCGGAGGGTCAGGCCCCTAGTATGCAGCATAAGAAATAAAGCCTCTGCCTGAATGTGAGGACTCGGATATTGTTGCCCATTGAACTGGGAAGAGTTTTGAAAGGAAGAAGGTAACTATTTTTGGATAAAGAACAACAGAGAAAACTTTCCCCGATGATCTGATGATACTTCCAAATGTGCTGTTGAAATAATTAGAACTGGAGCCCTGTGGTACCATTCCCAGTGATTTATTTTCTATCCTGTTGAGTTGTCTAAATTAATTTTTTTCTCTCAGAGAGAGAAAAGGGATGATAGGAGCTGAGGTGAGCGTGTGGTGGGTGTGTGATCGGGGTCTGTCCATCCGAGATCGCCTGCTCAGCATTTTGTCTCGCCTCCTGCACATCAGTTTTCTCCCAGGTCGATGACTTCAGACGGGCTCATTTTGAACCTAGGGCTTGTTTCTGTGGTGGTCAGCAGTCCTTACCCTATTTTCACTGTCGTCCCTGCAGTCGTTGGAGTGGCCTGGACGGCAGCCCCTCACTGGAGCCAGGCTGTGTCTCCGGCTGGGCAATGCTGTCATGCAAAGCAGACCTCTAAATGCTTCCTCCTGCCCCTCGGGTGCTGTCTGTCTCCTGCTGCCTCTTTGACCCTTTGTCTGTCTGATGCTTCCCAGGATCCTCATTTAGTGACACCGAGGAATGTGGATAATTGGGCAGTATGTCGTCTCCATTCTTGCAGCCAGGCAGGCATTGAAGCTGTCCCTCAAATCCTCAATCTGGGCATTGGTAGCAGCAAAAAGGGCATGGGGTTTGCCCCAGTGTAGGAAAAGAAAGATTCAAAATCCCTAAGAAGGATCAGTGAAGTGTTCTTAGGTGTTGTAAAAACGGTGCCTGGCTTTGAGGGTTCAGCACCTCGGGTCTCCTCGTTGAGAATTCAAGACAGAGGGGAAGAAGAAGAGCACCAATATCGTCTCCCCCATCTCTGTGGGCATGAGATGGGCAGCCAGCTTTCTCTCCTAAGCCTTGGGTGGAAGGACACGTTCTTTGCAGGTTTCCCCTCCCTACAAATTCATCTCGGAATAAGATGTAGTATTATGAGCTTAGAGGTCTGTGTGTGCGTGCACATGCACCTGGGAAATATGAATTTTCATTTCTACTTAGGAGAACTTTTACAATACTTGCTATCTCCAATGCCTGATGAAGGGTGCTTGTACTCAAAAGCTTGCAAATAAAGAATTTGTTTTGCAAATATCTAGTTGGTCTAATAAAAGATGCCACCTCTGCCACAAGTTTTGATTCCTTCCGTGTGTGTGTGTGTGTGTGTGCGCGCGCGCGCGCGCGCGCGCGCACACCACTGCTCTCCATTGACTGCCCTGTGGAGTCTCCTTGTGAACCTGTGGGTCTTTGTCATGGTGGCCTGACTAGCGGAGATGCCCTTTTGAGCTCACTTAGCTATAAGTGGAGGCCCGCAATAGGAAAATTGTGTCCTCAAGCAAATACTTGCCCCAGAAACCCCCCCAAAACAGCTGCATCAAACCCTCTTTGCCGTAGAAAAGAACCAGTTCCTGGTTTCTTTTGCCTCCATTGTTAATGTTGGGTGAGGACAATTAGTGATTCCTGTGCTCTGCCTTCTCCTTGCATCCTTGATGACTTTAAAGAGACGCCTGTTCCTTCTCCACTTACTGCAGCATTGACTGTTTGCATTTTTAACTCCATCTCCATTAAATTTTCAACAGTCTCCTAAGGGTTCGCACATCTGTCATGCAAAAACCAGACTATTGCTTGATGTTCAGGGAAACAAATCAAACCATTGTGGGGTAAGGGCCCATGCCACCAAATCCTGCCGTAAAATCCCAGAAAATAGGTCTTTACTGGGGTGGGAGTCTCCTGTCATGGAGCACTCCCCCATATAAGTTTTGGGGGGGCTGAATGTTGCATCCAGGAGCATCTGCTGAAGATTAGGCAATTAAAGGTCTACCCAGTGGAGTTCCTTCTTCCAAACAAGAAATCAGTCAGTGCAGCTCCTTTACTTGGTATCCTGCAGGTGTTTCCACTTGAAAAGGAAGACCAGCATATGTAAAAGTGGCCTGTGAAAATGATTGGGCACGGAGAAATTCCCATGCAAGGAGGAGGAAAACCCCCAGGATAGTTTAGCTTGGCGAGAGGGAGTAGGGAATGCACCCAAACCAATGAACGGTAGTTAATTGGGCACCTTCTGGGTATCTTTTGTGACAACACATCAGTAAAGCATTGAATAGCATCCAAGAAGCAACACATTCAACATGCACTAAAGGCCCTGCCTCCTGCTTTTAAATAAAATATCCTGTTTGTTAACCTGTATAGCTCGCTGCCATGAGGTCTTGTTGAGGCGATCATCATAGGAGCCCAAAGCAAATGATATGTTCACCAGTGATCTTCTGCTTAGCCGTTTGCCTGGGATCCCATCAGCTGCTTCAAACCCTCTCCATCTGGGCAGTAAGACAATTTAGCGACCTATCAAAGAAAACTTGTAGGGATAACATTGGAGTTGCAGTCAGGAAATCCCCTTCACCTTCTTTATTCCCCCTGACTTGTGCTATTTATTCATGAAACCCAAAATCCATAAAAAAACCCCAAAAGTGCTGTTTGATCCCAAAGTACAAGAGAAGAGCAGAAAAGACAAGCTGAGACCTAATTAATATTTGTCAAGGTCTCTGAGATCCTCGCACTGAGATATGGTGGGATGTGGAGAGTGCTGCTGTTAACTTTCCCAGCATCTGGCATATTTAGCATGTCTGCTGTCCGGAGCTTCAGAAGTGTTCGCAAAACGGGGGAAGAAATATCCTCCCTCTTCTCTGTGATCTCAGCCTCCTACTTCTCCATTTTTATGACAATTGATTCCTATAAGGAGTTAAATCCTTCCCCCCCCAAGCTCCCATGTTGACAAAAATAATCTGTGATAACTTCTGATATCTCACCTCTGAGAGCGCTCGGCGATGGTGAGACCACTTCTAAACAGAAGTCCTTTTGTTGAAAAGGAGCATCGCTGGAAAGTGGCTGCTGCCTGATCTGGGCAGAAAGGTTGACAGAACCAACCCTGATTTTACCTGACCAGCAATGAAGGGCCAAAAGCTGTGCTAGGATGTTTCCATTTGGGCCAAAATCTGCTCCCAGCTAGACTGAGGCAAATCCAGAATGACTTCTGTGGAGCTACCACAGATTAACAATGGTGTGTCGGGAGTCGAGCTTGGTTTCTGATGGCAGGATAGTCTTGAGGTGCAAACAGCCTGGGCTTCTGAAGGCCAATGGAAGTGCTATGAGGTTTCCTGTGTGGTCCTGAGAAAATTTCTTTACATTATTTATTACACATCATTGCATGTTTTACAAGCGTAAGTTAGTTATTAGGACAAATATTCTCACTAGGAGGGCAGTAAAACACTGGAACAAGTTACCCAGAGAAGTGGTGGAGTCTCAATCCTTGGAGGTTTTGAAGACCCGGCTCGACAAAGTCGTGGCCGGGATGATGTAGTTGGGGCTGGTCCTGCTTGGAGCAGGGGGTTGACCAGATGTGACCTCTTGAGGTCCCTTCGCACCTTCATTTTTTACCTCCCAGTGAAATAAGGATAGTGTTTCCATCCCACCCAGGGGACTTTTGCACCAGTTCTGGGGTTGGTCACGAGCAGAAACACTATGGGGTTGAAGGCTGCCTGTTAACTATGGAAGAGAAGGGTTGGGAGATGGGCTGTGGATTGAGGAAGGAGAGGGAGCTAGCTAAATGTCAGTTGGGAAGGCCTGAGAAGCTGGCTGCCCTACCTGCTTGCTTTCCTGGCCTTGAACAGCTTGTGTTAACGGGCTTTTAACTTTAAACTTAAAGTATTTGTGCGTGTGTGTCTGTGTACATGTGGGATATAAATAATCAATGGATGAACCGCAGTGTGACTAATTGCATAACAGTCAGACAGTAACCCAGAGTATAACAGGAGCACATTCTATGAGTGTTTTGAGTGGGAATAATGAGATGTTAACATGTGGTATTTTCATTAGAAATTTCAGGGAGCGCATTTCAAAATGCTGGGGCACTGGATAAGCTGAATAATTAAAAATAAATAGCTTCTGAGCTTGCCATGTTGATGGGCAGATATAATTAGGGGAAGAACGTTTTTGACAAGAGAATAATAATTAGCAGAGCAAAAGTTGTCTGTAGTTGGAAGAGAAAAGCACTTACTTTACTTCTTACTGAGCTCCTACTGGCAAGCTGTTGGCGGGCATCGCGGGTGGTTTCAGAAGGGGGGTTGTGAGGAGCCCTTGTGTATAGGTGCAGAGCACAGTCTGACATTAGGCTGAAGGCTCTTGGGAAGTCATTTGGCTGGCATGGCAAGTTGGATGAGGAGAGATGTCCTGGGAGCCAGTGCAAAGCAGGATCTTCTAGCTCGCAGCGCTCGCTGGACAGTGCTAGGTCATCCCACTGAGTGCTCTTGAGCAAAGCTTGCTGCAAGGGTGTTAGCTCAGAGAGGCCATCTGCATGGGATGGTGAGTGAATTCAGACTCATGCTAGGGCTGCTGTCCTGTTAATTTTGCACTTGGGTGCCTGGTCTCATCCTCTTGAGCGAGCCACTTCCCTGTGCCTCAGTTTCCATGTCTGTAAAGTGGGGTCAGTGGCACCAGCATCCTTATGAAGATGTTTGCAGATCTGGTGCTGTGGGAGAGCCAAGCATTGCAGCCATTAGGCTGAGAGCCCTTTCAAACAGCTCTTGGCCTCCATCTTCTCTGTGCTTCTTGGGCTACAAAGGTCTTTTCCCATGCAACCTCCACCCTGGTGTATAGCTTCCCCAGCTCTCTGTGAATTCCTGTTACCTTCTCGTTTGAAGCTACTTCTAACTGGGAAGATTTTAGTTTTTTTTAAAAATGGTGCTGAAGGGGCCGGGCACAGCTGTTGTCTGCTGGGCTCCAGCTCCCGTGGGGGTGACTGCTCTTCCACATAGCTCTCGCACGGCTGGGCAGTAGGGATGGCAAGTGTCATCTTTTACTCTGCCAGTCTTTCTTTGCACGAGTATGTCCTACAGTGGTGATTTTACTGGCTGGTACTGCAGGGGTGATTTCAGGAGACGATTCTCTTAGGATAGATACATCCAGAAAATGTATTTTCACCTTGTTTATCTGGGGACCTGAGTTTTACCATGTAGCAAATCCAATGCAGGCAAAACAGCCTTCTTTGGGATTGTGTCTTTCTCTTGGACCAGCTGTTCTTTGCAGTCTGGGTAACTCGTGTGTAACGAATGGATTTCCTCATTGGCTAATATGCAGTATTTCAACTCTTGCATTTTTAGGGTGGGGTTATTGATCAAAGCTGTTTGGGGGATTCAGGCCTCCAGTCCCAATTAATCTGAATGGGAACTGGGTTAAAAGAAAGCTTTAGAAAGTGTTTTTGTTTGTTTATTTTTTTTTTTTTAATTTCTGCCTTAATTTCAGAACATTGGTTTGTCTTGTGCCTTTTTTGAGCAGTGGGCCACGAGGCTTAGGTCTTTCTTGGGATTACATGCGTATGCAGCACAAGAACAAGGGCAAACCATGACTTTCAGCAATGAGGTTTTCCATGTGTAGGGACAGGAATCAATGACTTAAGCTTTCAATTTGCTTTTAATTCAGTAAGGGACTTGAGCATGTGCATAATGCTAAGGATACATGCAGTCCCACTGAAGTAAATTGTCTCATATTTGGTGAACTGGAGCCATTTGTCCTGAGCAAAGTAGTGGAAATAGCTTGATTTATTTTATCTGAGATTATTAACTATTTTGATTAGATTTTCATTTTTGCTATCTTGTTTTCCAGGACTAAAAAAATCGACTAGCAACATGACTCCATTTGTTTTGCTTTGTGCAGATGTAGTAAATTGCGACGAGGATTTTTCTTGTACAAGGCTCGGTAAAAATTAATTAGGATTTTTCTTTTCATTGCAATGCTGTCTGTTAATTAGGAAGCAGAAAAGCTACATAAAATTTTGTTTCGCTAAGCTATCCTTGTGTCTATTGATTAAAGAAACCAGATCAAAGGGATTCGGTAGCAGCGTTGAAATGATGGTGGGCCATGAACTACATTCTGGGTGGTAACACGCGAGCCAGCAGAGAATTTGGCTCTAATCTTGAGCATCTGTTTATAGGCAAATAGTGCTTTGTTCTCTCTTAGGAAGTGCAGACCTGGTCAAAACTTACAGAGATTTTTTGTTCACTTTGACTTTGAGAGGAAGAGGCAAAATTATTGTACATGGCCATTTACAGTGATTTAGAAGGCAAGATAGATGGCACATCCTTATAGACTAACTAAATTAGATTGCACGCGCACACGTACGTACGTATGTATCGTAGGAGCTGACTTCGTGTGTGTGTGTGTGTATCTATCTATAAACATACATATACATATACAGACCTATCCATCTCTATGTATGTATGTGTACAGATGTGTAGAGCTCTCTCTCTAGATATGTATATGTATAGATGTGTAGGTATCTCTCTCTCTCTAGAGATGTGTATGTAGATTGATTGATCCATCTCTAGATATGTATATCCTATGTCTCTCTCTCTCGATATGTATAGATATACCTATATTATCTATCTATCTATCTCAATAGATATAAAAATAGATCTATAGAGCTATGCCTTTTAAATAGATGCAGCACAAGCTTTTGTGGGCTGAAGCTCCCTTCATCAGATGTTGTCAAAGGATGCCTAGAAAAGCAGAGTATAAGAGCTGTAATTGTCATCACAGCTGAGTTCTCCGGCAGTTACGGTACGGTGATGGAGTGAACTGTCTGTGCATGTGGTATCATGTCATGGGTAAATGGGTGGCAGAGGCTGACTTGTAATGATAAGTCCTTCTCTGTCCCCTGGAATTATTCTGATGAGAACAGCAGAGAAAGGCATTACAACTGTATGCCTGCAATGCCCCGTGATAGCTTAGAGTATTCATGTTCTAGCTTGGGGCCATAAATTGTTCAGTACACTTGGACATGATCACAGCCAGAGCTAGTAATGAGCAAGTCTGACAGATTTAAGTGGAGCAAACTTCAGTAGTAAGAAGAAAAAAAGAAAGAAAGAAAAGAAAAAGGGAAAAAAGCCACTGTTGTTAGCTGTTAGGATTTCACTGTGAATCTTGCTATGTCTGGCATTTCTTGCGAAGTCAGCTCCTGGGATAATATAAATATGTGTAAATTGCTGCATTCAGTCAAAAAAAAAAAAAAAAAAAAAAGATTTTTAGTCTTATTGGTAATGAAGAAAAACTGGAAAATATGAACACTAATGGATCAAACACAAGTGCAGATAAAGCAACCCAGAAGTTGTTGTTGTCAGTTTCTCTTTATTTTTTTTAAGGCAACCTTGTAATTTTTAATATTTAGGCTGACAATTTTTTTTTTAAAAGAGACAAACTGCACCGGAGCTAACACACAGCGTTTTTTCCCCCAAAGATGTAACATCCAGCATATTCAAAGGAAAAAAACCACTAAGACAATTGCAACTGTAGCACCATATGGTGAGTTTTAATAATGTTACAGCTGATGTAAACCTAATTATGCTGCATGCAAGAGACATAATTGCTGCCTAGTCTACCTGGACAGAGTCCTTTTAAAAACTAGCCATATACTGTAAATCAGAAAAGAACAAATCTGAGGAGTTTTTTTTTTTTTATTACTGCCATGGGAAACGTTCTTGGGTTTTGTTTCTTTCTGCTCAGTATATTGCAAACCTTTTCCAAGTTTGTAAATAAATATTACCTGAAACTGGAGAAATGACTGGCACTCCATCATCCTGATTGTTCCTATAGCAGCCAGGTCATTATTGCAAACAGTTGCTGCACTTGTGTCCTTCTGTAGCAGAAACCTGAGCAATAAGTCTGAACTTGTCAAGTTCATCAGTGATTTTTGAAGAAGTATTTCCTGATCTAAGTCTGTCTTCCTATGAGAGGTTTGTTATGGTTCCCTCCTCCACCCTAAAGCAACACCAGAAATATTTCCACCCCAGAAGGTATAATTTTTAGCAAGCCGGCAAGAAGCAAAACTTTTTGACATTTCCACAATGAATGGTCCAAGTTTCGACTGGTGAACAGTTTTCTGGTCAGCTGAGTATTTGCTCGGAAAGTATACATGACCTTGAAAGGTTTCAGAAACCTGAACCTCAAAGAAGGGGGTGGAGGGATGGGAAGGAAAGTGAGCTGCTTTGTCAAGAGCAAATTAATGTCACTGGCAACTCCCTTCCCCCCACCTGCCTTCCAGCTTCCATGTCAGCCTGTGGTTTCATCTTGGGACTGGAAACGTCTCTGGGCTTGACGAGTTCCCAGGGTCTGGTTCTCTGCTGGTGGAAACTGGTGTAAGCAATAAGGCTAAGTACAGACAGTCAAAAAGCTCGAGGCTGAATCAATTCAGTCTTTGCAGGTTAGTCTGAACTGCAGAAATTAAGCTGATTAACAAGTGAACAGATATTCACTTTTGATTCAGGAAATGCAGTCACACGCCTGCAGTGGGTCAGGCCAGAAGGTGGGGCGCGCTAGAGCATGGCTGTCTGGCATGGGCTGTGCATTCACTTCCTCTTCCTGCTGCCCCCGAGGTCTTTGGGGTTTGCAGTCCACAATCACAGCAGCAGGACTCTGCAGGGTTGCTCATTACTACTTCTTCTTGCTTCCAGGTGCCTTTGGGATTTGTAGTCCACAGTTGCAGCCAGCAGTAAGTTTAGCACAGCAGGGCAGCTCTGTACTTGAGAGAAGGGGGATTTAACTTCCCTCCCTGGCTCCAGACCCTAGCTGGGGTTTACCTGGGGGGTGGAGGGGGAAGTCCCTGCCTCCCCCTCCCCCAACCCTTCTCTGCTGGAGCAAGCAGCACAGCCCAGCCCAGCCCAGGGCTGCAAAGCATGCTGGGTTGTTGGCAGACTGTGATTTAACCTGAACCAGGAAGGGGTCTGGGACAGCAGTTTCATAAACCAGTTTGACCCAAATCAGTTAAGTCTGATACTACATTCAACCAGGTTTATTTTAAACCAATTTCAGCTATTTTCAAACTGGTTTATGCACACTGAACTTTTGTTCTGTTACAGGTTTAAATCAGTTTCTGATGACTTAAACCGGTTTATGTGCAACTTCTGTCCCTAGCCTAAGGGCGAGAAATGTGTGTCGATTTGGTGGGGGATCAGTGGGAATTCAGTTGTGTAAGTTGAGGTGATAAAGCAGGGATCAACCGAAATAGCAACTTGGCGGATAAAGCAAGGAAGTGCCTAACAATGCCAAACCTTGTCTCTGGGCTTTACAGCTCATGTGTTGGGGCCTAGATGTTCAAAAGGGCCTGAGAGATATGGGTGCTCAACTCCCACCAAGCTGGAAACCGGTGAGAGGCCTCCTGTGGGGAAAGGTGCCAAGCCACTTCCCACTCTAACGAGGCTGCTAGACATCCTTGAGTCAAGGGGCACGTATCAGCCAGCCTTTGACCTGCCGCCTTTTAACGTTGAGGAAGAGAGGGCAAAAATCCAGAGGTGAGAAGACTGGATGTGGAACAAAGATAATTACTTTGAAGGCAAAATGTACATTATAGCAAAGGGCGAATGGATTTTTCATAGAACAATAGTAAATATTTTACATAGGAATGTGATGTTTGTTCATGGCCTGTTGCTAGGCAGGGGCATATCAGGTGATCTTGTCCTGCAAACTTTTCAGTATTTGGTCTTTTTTGGGTATTGAATTATATTTTATGCATCTGACCTAGGAAAATAAATGTGTTGATCAAGGAAAACACCTGTGTATCTGCACTTGTAAAGAAGGAAAAATCTGTTGTAATCTTTCCCAGCATAACTGGAAATTGCTCACTATAGGATCCTTTTTTGTGCAAAAGCGTGTTCATGGGATTGAGTCTTATGGGGTGAGTTTAAAAAAAAAAAAAAAAAGGGTCCAAATAAGGGTTAATAACTTTTTTTTTTTTTTTTTTAAAGGCATTTGTTCCCAGCAGGGGAAAAGCAAGTTAGCCAGGTGGGAAAACAGCCCTTTGTGCTATGGATGATGTATTTTATGGTCCCTTCCTCACTTATCCATAGGGGTCTTCCTAAATGGGGGTGGGAGTTACCAGTTTCTGTGGGTTGATCATAATGGAAAGTCCTAATTCTACAGTCATATCATGGTGGTGCCGCCCCTTGGTGCTGATTGGTGGAGAGACCCCGCCCCTTGGTGCCGATTGGTGGAGAGGTCCGAGCAGGGGGAGGAGGCACAAGGGGGCACCCACCATTTTGTCTGTTGCCCTTCATGCTGCCCCGCCAGCCAACGAGGCCCACCGGGAGCTCGCACTTTATTTTTATTTTTATTTTGATGTTGATTTTGTGGACAATCCTGGATTCTGCAGTTTCTGCGAAAGGGCGAATTAAGTAGGTCCCTCCTTACCTGTGCCCGTAATTCCCACCGCCGAGTAAGGTTCAGCATCCTGTGCATCGCAGCAGGAACGGGGGCGGCCACTATAATTAAGGTTTCTTGAGTATTTCCATTCCACCCTGCTATTTTCACGGGTTTTTTGGAAAACGAATAGAAAAGCTTGCGAGGCGATGGAACGGCAGCATTCTTGCCAACCTCCGCCAGAGAGATGAACTTAAAACAGAAGCAAAGGCGCTCTGTTGACTTCAGCTGGGGCTGGACATTTACTGCAAAAAGGCAGCTTTTTTTTTTCCAGGAGGATAAGGACCATTGCAAAGTCACAGTGAAACAAGCTTTTATTGTGGCAATAGCACTACCCTTGCTTAGCTTTCTCTAACATAGCTACCTTGCAGTAAAAACCACAGGACCTCCACGTCTGCTGTTTGCTAATGCACTTCAGTTGTTCTGCTGTAAAGACACCTTTTTTTTGCAGGGGAGATTAAAGGCTTAAGTGTAAGAAGGCAGTTGCCTGGCTGCAAAGGAAGCATTGCAGCCTTGTAAATTGTGTTGTATGCAAAGATTTAAGGGGCAGCTTTCAAAGGCACAAATGGAAGTTATTGATTTTCAGTGGGAGTTTGAAACTGAGACCGAATATCTCAGCCTAAACTTGTGAGAGCCCTAAGGTGGCATGATGAAGCAGGCAGATGTCAGAGGGTGCCAAAGTCAAGGCAGCACATCCAGTCTTCTCTGTTCTGGAGAAGTATTAGTTGCACAACCACATGCTACCGCAGCTTTGTTTTCTTGCAGATCTATAAGGTACATTGGGAAATTCCCATGCACCAGTACAGCCTGGGGACGGACTGGCTGGGCAGCAGCTCTGCAGAAAAAGACCTGGGGGGACAGTGGACAATAAGATGGATATGAGCCAGAAGTGAGCCCTTGGTGCCAAGCAGGCTAAGGGCATCCCAGGCTGCATTGGTAGGAGTGCTGCCAGCAGATTGAGGGTAGTGATGCTTCCTCTATTCAGCACCGGGGAGGATACATCTGGAGTCCTGCGTCCAGCTGTGGGCCCCCCACTACAGAAAGGATGTGGTCACATTGGAGAGAGTCCAGCGGAGGTCAACAAAAACAGTTGTGGGGCTGGGGGACAGGACTGGTGAGGAGATGCTGAGGGAACTGGGTTGATTTAGTTTGGAGAAGAGAAAACCAAGGGGGATTGAGTAGCAGCCTTCACCTCCCTGCAGGGGGGCTGCAAAGAGGATGGAGCTGGACTGGTCTCAGTGGGGGCAGATGGCAGAACAAGGAGCAATGGGCTCAAGCTGCAGCAAGGGAAGTTGAGGTTGGATATTAGGAAAAGCTTTCTCACTAGGAGGGTGGCGAAGCACTGGAAGAGGTTACCCAGAGAGGTGGTGGAGTCTCCATCCTTGGAGGTTTTGAAGACCTGGGTAGACAAAGCCTTGGCTGGGATGATGTAGTTGGGGCTGGTCCTGCTTGGACCAGGGGGTTGGACTGGATGTGACCTCCTGAGCTCCCTTCCACCCTCCTTGTCTGTGATTCTGATATGGCCTTGTCACTGCAGCAGGCTTGGCAGAGTCATCCCCTCAGGCCTGCACATCTCCTATGTAAATGACTTCCCTGGTTCACTGATACTGGACCAGAAAGCTTGGAGGTGCCCTCAGACGTAGGCATTTCATGATGTTGGAGCAATGAATGGTACTGCAGGTGTCTAGCATTTGTAAGTGGAAACCTCAATGCATGCTGCTCTGAGAGCACAGAGAGGGAAAGGGTGATTTGAAGCCAGCTCATCAGAAAGAAGTAATGGGGCAGCGCTGGGTCCAGCCTGGAGTTCGGTTGCTACGGTGCGGGGGCCTGAGGAATGCCCCTACTCTTCCAGGCTACCCCGTCACCTAATCCCTTCCACGAACTGATCAAGCTCCAGCCTTCGCTGGAGCCTGCGGCCCAGAGGGAGCCGTCAGGATCCTGGCACGTATGACGAGCTGTGCCAAGGCTGGCAGCCGTCTTTTGAAGTCATTGCAACTCATGGGGGAACGTACCCTTTTCAGGAAAGCCGGCTTTTCAATTAAGCCGTGCATTTTTATGATCTGAGAGGAGTGATTTCATGCCCCTGTCAATAACCCACACTCCATGTGCTGTTATGACCTTTATTACTTATTTTTCTTCTGTATTATTTCCATTTCATAATGGTGATATGGCACTCGTGTGCTCTATGTCTGGGGAATTATCGTTCTCCCTAAGTAGCTGAAGTCATTGTGACTTTGGCCTCGTGCCTCACAATCCACCTGAGCCTTGCGGTAGTTCCCCTTGCATTGCTTCAGAGGGCGTTTCAGTGCATACACAGTGCCCAGGTACCCATGCTTTTAATCTCATTTACAAGCATGTGCTTTGCCTTCCCCAGCAACCTGCCATTTCCTAGGGACAGTTAGGTGATCGCACGGTCCAAGCGTAGCATGTGCTTTTGCTCTTGCTAACGTTGTACCTTCAGATTTCAATTCATTGTTTCCCCACCTCTTGTGTTGTGCATTGCTAAATAGTTCTGGTGTATCACCCCAGTGATGGCTGCATCTAGTGCTCCATGAAGTAGCCTCAATGTATCATTTTTATTTCCCCCTCTAACCACCTCACCCCTTCTGGATGTTTTTAAGTGTGTGCGTTGCATCTGTACTGCTTTGACGTGGTCCTTTTCGTTGCGCCATGGCCTCTTTCAAGTTCCAGGTGCTAAAAGGGTCTCATCGGGACTCCCCATGCTGGGAGCTGGGGGTGCATATTCCAGCACGCAAAGCGTCACCGCTGTTATGGTCATAAGAACAATGTGAGCTAGTCTGCGCCCCCAGCCCCCCTCTCCATTAGTCTTTTTGAAAATAGCCTTGGAAGGGTTTCACTGAATTTTTTTGCAACCCTCTTCCCCACAGTGAAAGCCGCATTTTAGGCAGGGGCATGCATAACAACAAGCAACCCAGGCCGTTAACTTTGTTGCGAATAAGAAAGCCTTGTGCTTGCAAGGCCATGCCTCCCTTCTGCTCAGCTGACCGCACCTGTTCTCGTGAGCTCAAACGTTTCCTCCTCTCTGAAGTAGTAGGAATTTGACTGGGGGTTGCTTGCTGGTGCCAGTTGCTGGGATTTTGAGATTCCCTTTGGGGAGGAATATTTTAAAATGGAGAATTGTTGGGGGAGTCAAGGGAGGATGTTTTGGGGCCTGTGGGAAGCGTCTTGGTGACCACAGGGGGCTCCTATGGGAGGCGGAGAGGTTCTCAGCTTCCCTGCTGCTCTGACGCACAAATGCAAAGGTGGCAAGAATAAAAAAGAAAAGGTGTTTTTTGCCAGTTGGCTCAATACATATGAAGCAAATGTCGTGTCCCTTATAGGAGCAGGACCATGCGCACGTGATCTCCTCTTGTGCCACTGTTCTGAGATCCCTCTGTGAAGCAGCCCTTGGCATGGGCGGTTTTGCACAGGCACCTGCAATATCCTCTAATCAGACAAGAGTATCCTGCCCCTGACAATCGCTTGTGAGGCACAGAGGAATCAGAAGAGGGAAGAGGAATGACTTTTTTTTTATTTCTTTTTTTGAGGGAATGAATAGAAGAGAGGTTACAGGTGAGCAGGGAGGCTCAGCGTGAGAGGACCTGGCCTTGGCTGCAGCGTGCTCAAAGGCATGGGCCCGAGCGGTGCTTTGTGGTCTTTGTTGGAAGCTATTCTTGGTGCTCTCGAGAATGAAAGCGAGAAGTTTCCCCTAATCTCAGTGGCCTGTTGAAAGAAACTTTTTTTTTTGTTCGTTTAAAAAATGTAAAGCGTCAGCCACCTTAATACGTCCTCCGCGAGCAGAGAGAGCCCGTAGCGCGGTTTTTATCAGGATGGCCATGAATTTGTTCCTGCCATTTTCGCATCACCGACCAACGAGTGAATGAGCCATGAGAGGCACCCGGGAGAAATGGGTTCTCATCCCAGCTTGGCTGCAGGCAGGTTATTTGGGCCTGTCTTTGGTAGGACTGTTGTCACGTATTATTAACAGAACAAGGCAATGGACTCAAGCTGCAGCAAGGGTTGCTGAGGCTGGATATTGAGAAAAACTTTCTCACTAGGAAGGTAGTAAAGCACTGGGAACAGGTGACCCAGAGAGGTGGTACAGTCTCCATCCTTGCAGGTTTTGAAGACCCGGCTAGACCAACCTTTGGCTGGGATGATGGAGTTGGGGCTGGTCCTGCTTGGAGCAGGGGTTGGACTAGATGTGACCTCCTGAGCTCCCTTTGAACCCTCATTTTCTACGATTTTATATATGCTTATTTTATAGCACTGGAAAAGAGCCCTGGTTTAGATGACATGCATGTCTACCTTTTCTTGGCCAGCCAGCCCAGAGAATCTAATGCTAATATCATGCAAGTTAGAAGATAATGGCACAGGTGCAGGCTGGTAAGACAGCAAAGGTTTCATCTTACTTCAGCCTTGCAATAGTGGCTTAAAAAGAAAATCCACATTGCACTTCTCGGGTTTTTTTGTATGCTAGTACCTGGAGCCCCGAAGAGACTCGTGCAGTGATGCTGCTGGGTGCCTACCGTCACATACAATCAGTATCTGGAGGGCCTCAGGGTCTCAGGAATTACTGGCTTAATATGTGCCTTGCTCAGATGTTAGGGGTGTTGTGTCCTGGCAGAGAGCTGGATTCCTTTGGACCTGGTGGAAATCGTTTTGCTGAAGAACGATGTCATCTGTGACATCACGTGTATTGGAGCCCGGTGACAGAGAAGGAAAATGGGTTCCCATTTGGCTGCAACACACATTAAGCAAATGTGAAAGGAACATTATGGTTTAAAAATTAAACACTTAGTTAAATAATTAAACATGAATAATTTTTGTGCAAATGGAGCTGGGAGATGCAGGTTGCCAGACTGACACAGTTCAAAGCCGTTGCGCTGCAGAGTGTCAGTGACCTGTGAACGTAGAGGCTGTTTGTTACTTTTATCACGTTGTTAATAATGCCCTGGAGGAAGAGGGACCCGGAGCGATGGAGATGTTTAGCATAAAAAAGAATTAAGCACCTGTCTGCAATGAGACTCCTTTTAACTTGTTAATTTACATAGTTACCGGGGGGTATGTGAATATATCACTTCTTACATCGTTTACATGCAAAAATACTGAAATGTCTTTTTAATAAGACATATAGACAGTTCTGCCGTAGCTGCAAGTCAGTCCATCAGCAGAGGCTCTCTTTAAGGGCTGTGTTTGCTCAGTGGAGGGGATGTGTTCAGGTCTGATCCGTTGACCCTGGAGAGAAGATTGGGATAAGGCTATAATTTGACTTGGGAACACATTTGCCACCTTCAGAGGTTAATAGGAATTTTTCTGGTAGAGGTGGTTGGGAATTACTCGGTGAAATGCTTTCTCGTTGGAAAATGAGGATTTGTGGAAATAACTTGTCCAAGGCATGTACTTTTCTCAATGAAGCTTCTCTTGGAGAGGTTTCTCAGCGTCACAACAGGAGACTCTCCACCCTGATGGCTGTCATCACACTTACCTGGCCCATGAAAGCTTCATGTTCAAGTTCTTGCTCTGCCTTGGGTCCCACGTGATCTGAGGGGGAGTCCTGACCACTAGGTCATTGCCTGGTCCCTTCTCTGGTCTTCTGTCACCAGGGTTTTTTTATATGGGTATGGCTTCTTCTTGACCTGGAATGGGAAACTTCTTTGGTCATCCAAGCATGGTTCTCCTGGATGCACGTGTTTCGTAGTTTCGTAGAAGTTAGGGGCTGGAGGGGATCTTACAAATCATCGGGTCCAGCCCTCCTGCACTTGGGCAGGATAGACTGCTGGGATCAGATGACCCCAGCAATTGTGCGACAACATTTGGCTGCACACACGTTTACAAGTGCCCCTCTGAATCGCGGCCCCAGAACTTCATCCGGAGTGGAGGGAACAGCTTGAGAAGCAGAAACCCACCATCTTTTTGGAGAGCTGCAAGCAATCCTTGCTGCTTTTCAGATTGCCAAGTATTGGAGAAGGAGACCTTTTGCGGCATGACTTGTGAGCCTTAGTTGTTCTTTATTCGTGTAGCCTGGGGCTTCAGAGGCAACCTGGCCTCGGCTGTCTGTTTGGGGCTAGAAGGCTGGTAGGAAACTAGCACCTAGCAAGGACCCGCATCCTTACAGTGATGCTTTCCAGTCACCGTGTCCACAGGTGCCAGCACAGCAGTGTATTTGCCGTTAACTTGGCATCTTCATGGCGCTCTAAGCAGAGTGACCTAGGGTAGATATTGAGTTGCTTTCTTGCTAGAAATATTCCTTCATCAGCTTGTTCCATGGGTTAATGTTGAGTGCAAGAGGCTAGCACCTCAGCTGGTGTGAACCCAGTGGATTCAGTTCAGCTACACCCAGTAACACCAGCTGCCAGGCTGGCCTTCCGTACCTTTCTGAGATACCAAAATGACTTAAAACACTCTAAAAAAAAAAAAGAGCGAGTGTTGAGGTAACCCCTACAGTCCCTCTCCTATAAATATTGTTCCCTTTCGTAATAGGTTTCCATCCTTTAGTGTTTCCTGATATTCAAATACGATGCAATTTGGCGTCGAGTATTTATCTCTGTCTTCAATTAGGAGCCTCGGAATAGAAATCCTGTTAATTTCAAATCAATACGAGAGAGAGCAAATGTGCAATTTAGTCCATTTCTTTAATCAATATTTTATTTAAAAGCTGAAATGTTAACTAGATCTTTGCTTTTGTCATTTGAAATATAACTCGTGTCCCTGGAACTTATGCACTCCTCAGATCTTGGCCTGCTGACGGTATGTTATGGATGTATAGTGGACCTAATAGTGACAGCCACCCATACAGATGCACATTACTCATTTTCTGAATAGGAACTCGATTTTAACCGTGGAATCGGAGTATTTGTTCCATCCCAGAATTTATTGTCATTTTAATTCTTGGTTTTATTTTGTTTTTCAGAAGCCTTCGAAATTGTGGTACGGCATGCAAGAAACTACACCAACACCATGTTTAGGAACCACTACCAGAACATGGGGCCCAGGGCTCTAAAGTTCGTCGGAGAACTTTTTACAGACATCTCGCTGTACATACTGGGCTCAGACATCAATGTTAATGACATGATAAACGAGTTTTTTGACAGCTTATTCCCTTTGGTCTACTCACACCTAATTAACCCGGGCTTTCCGGACCCCTCTATGGAAATGACTGAGTGTCTGCGGGTAGCAAGGCGGGACCTCCGAATCTTCGGTAATTATCCCAAAACAATGATGACACAAGTGTCGAAGTCACTGCAGGCAACTCGAGTCTTCCTCCAGGCGCTCAACCTTGGGATTGAAGTGATAAACACGACTGACCACTTAAAATTCAGCAAGGACTGTGGGCGTGCGCTTCTGAAAATGTGGTATTGCTCGCATTGCCAAGGACTCTTGTTGGCCAAGCCTTGTGCTGGATACTGCAGTGTTGTGATGCAAGGGTGTCTAGCAAGCGTGGTGGAGATAGATAATTATTGGAGAGAATATATTCGGTCCCTGGATGGGCTGACTAAAGGCATGCACGGTGTCTATGACATGGAGCACGTCCTACTCAATCTCTTCTCCATGATACGAGACTCCATCATGTACGTTCAGAAGAGCGGAGGGAAGCTGTCAGCAACAGTGAGTGCTTTTTAAATTGTTCCTGTAACTCTGTGTTATAGCCATCGCTTTCTGTAAGTCGACGTTGTTATGCTGCCTCCTGCTAGCACTTAAAATGTGCATGCCTAGGAACTGTGGATTAACTCTCCAAAGAGCAGCTCCTGCTTTCTAGCATGAGCAGGGGATGACGAGAGATGACTTGGAGGCTCACCCATAGAAGCAATGAGCTTTGGATCACTCAGCACCACTTTATGAAGTCCTTGAAATCTCTCATTACAAAGTGCCCTGAAACAGGAGACCCGTTTTTGCCTGAGGTTGTGCTGTTTTGCTGGAGCTGTGTGGTTGGGCTGCAAAGCAATGAGAAGGGATAGCATGAATCATTGATTTTATTTATTTATTTATTTATTTATTTATTTATTTATGGACCAAAAATGGCATGAGTTTCTCTTTGGGATTAGAGCTAGGGTTCTGCTTGGGTTTGATTCAGGTAAGGATGGAGATATCCATAATATTGTTAGACTGGGAAGTACTACCAGGAATTGTCATTATGGGAGAGATTTTACATCGCAGCAATAAATGGGAGAACAAATGCTGGTAATGCTGAAGTGTAGTTTGTAGCCGTGTTGGTCCAAGGACCATCCAGGAAGAGCACACACCAACTGCAGAGATTTTCTCAGCCTGACAAAGGGTTTTTAAACCCAAAAGCTTGCCAAAATTTTTTCTCCACCTATTTAAGTTGGTCTAATAAAAGATATCAGATTTACCCAAAGAACCTTGTCTGTAATACTGAAGGAACCCAGGTATTCTTGGCTGTGATGAACCAAACAGAAGGTGGTGCTGTGAGTAGCTAATGAGGATATGACCAAGGAGCCAGGCGTAGAGAGAAACTCTGAGATTCAAGTAGTCACAAGTCGATCCAGTTTGAATTGGAAGTGTAAAGAAAAACATCTGTTAATGGCTTGATAAATGAATTTTTAGGTGGTTTATTCCCTTTGGTCTACTCTCACTTGATTAGCCCAGGCTTTTCAGACCTCTCTGAAGAACTGTTTGTGCCTCCAGGCAGTAAGGAAGGCTTTGACAACTATCCCAAGATTATGATGAGACAGGGCTTCCTAGTCCAAACGGCTGAACTGTTGAGTAATTAACTGAACTAGTGAGTGAAGTCAGCTGGAGTAAAGAGCTCAATGACCTAAATAAGGAGAAGGTGAGGATTTTTCTTTAAGTCAAAAGTGCAAAAGTTGCACTCTAACTAAAGTGGGAGAAACTTTATAAGGAAGGGCTCCAGATTTAACTGGATGAAGAAGCACCTTTAAAGGCATTGGGAGTCATAAGAGAACCTACAAATAATGGAACGAGGGATTGAACAGTGAGTAAGGTGCATGTTAAAATCTGGGAAGTGCAGGGATGAAGTGAGAAGTGCTGTAAGGCAAGTTGAATTAGATCTTGCAAATTATATATTTTAAAAAAAGTAACACGTTCCTTTAACCATATAAATGAAAAGAGAATGGGGAAAGAATTGGGGCTGCTATGCAGTGAGGTCTGGAAAGAGATGGGATGAATTGAAAGAGAATAGAAGTAGTAATCGAAAATGGAATTTAAATTTAATAGTAAAAGTGCAGGGTCATGCACTTCTGGACTAATGATGGCTGTAAGTTGGGAATTCATTATTTGGAAATGACAGGCAAGGATGAAGACCTGGATGTACTTGATCACAGCATGACTGCGAGCCACCAGTGGGAATTGGTAACAATAAAGACAAATACTGTTCACAGATGTGTTAGATGAGATATTTCCCATTGAGGGAGGAAATATTCATGTCATTGTCAGAGGTGCTGGTGAGACCTGGCTTGAATTCTGATCACGGGGGTCCGAGAACGATGAAGTCAAGCGGAAACATGAGCACCGCTGGTACTAGGATGGTCGGGGGTAAAGGAGAGCCCGTCTTAGAAGAGGAGACTGCTTCAGCGTGATGATATGGGCACAAAAACAAATAGGCCTTGAATGCCTCTAACCTAGAAATTAAAAGAATTTTCTTAGCCACCTTCTGGTCCCTTGTCTTAGGATGCTGAATATTTTGGGAAATGGATGGGGAGCTGTAGCAGTGGTGCTCAACCTCTTTGTGCCATGGGACAGATGTGCAGGTGCAATCTGGTGGGCTGGATTGGACCCCATGCCAGGAAGAGGCCTGCGCACCTGGTTCAGGGGTGGCCCTGCACTATTCTGCCCAGTCCTGAGTGCCAGGATTGGACCCTGTGCTGTCCTGCTTTCCTAATCTAGTGCAAAGGGTCACAGGCTGTGGTGATCCCTGGGGACCGGGGCTGGATCTGGCCCACAGTACCCCTGAGTTACGGGATTGTGTCTGGAGTGCAGAGCATTGCAGTCTATGGGGGCAGCGGACTGCATTTTTTTCTTGGTTTAATGCAGTCTGCTAACATTATAGAAGATGCACAGTATAGGCCTGCACCGTACTTTGCAGGCTGTGGTCTGCATAACTAAAGCAGGTCTGGGTTCCCCTGCTGTGATAACCCTCTCCCACTCTTGGCTACACATAATCCCAGATGCGAAGACATTTATTATTTATCAGGAGTGACCAGAGTCCTTAGATTTTATACTGTGTGAATGTCTGAGCTTCCTCGGAAAACCATGTCTGTCTTGTTCAGAAAATCCCTTTGCTTTGTTTAAACACGGGACAACCGGAGTGCAGTCATGAGACACTCATCTTGCAAAGCCAAGTTACAAAGATGTGATCGAATTGTTCAGCACAGGTACAGGAGGGCAGGCGAGGAAGGTCACGAGAAAGTCATTGTTTGCTTAAAGCCAGCTCTGATTAAAATCTGCCGCGATTCTTGCTGTTCGCTGCTTGCTTTTGTCGGTCCTGGCTTCTGCTGACAAAAGTGCTGCATTTGCATAGGTCATTGTGGTAGGCTTGCCGTAAGTAATTCTTATCTTTGTTTGAAGCCATGGAAATGGATTGGGTCATGGATTTGGAGTGGCGCGTGGCGTGTCACCAAGAGCACTCGTCTCAGATGTGCCGGTTTTGCTCGGGGGTTGCACAGTCCTTGTCCGTATCTCTCAGGTGCAGTTGTTCCTCCGTGAAGCCTGCCGCTGTGCAAGCCCGGTGTGAGGAGACCTCCATCATCCGACACTCCAGTGTCAGTGGTGGGCTCTCTCCATTTCTCAGCACTGATTTTTTGGGTCTACCCTTTCCTGCTAGAATGGGCTCCGGGGTTAGGCTGTGCTTAGGTGTTGTGTGCGGGCTGGATGGGGAAGGTAGAATTAGGTGTCACCTGCAGTGGGGGAGTGATTGGGTCTCTCCTCTTCTCTTCTGCACAGTCCCAGGAGGAGCATATCACGTACCTTGTTTCAGGTGCGCAGCAGTTGTCACCTTAGTCCCTTGCTATGGCCAGCCACGGGTGTCATTTCTGCAAGCTATACTACCGCCCATTGCAGCTGTACAGAGGGGCATAGCCCTGCCCTGTGTAATAATGCCTTCTGATGGAGAATCGAATGGGGAAGCCTGCGACCATGCAACACGTGCAGTGAGCCCCTGTTGAGTGATTGGAGGAAGGGCTGCACCACTAACCTGCAAATGGCTTGAAATTCCTAATTAGGTCTGACGCTTTGGCTCTTCCTCTCCAGTATTTGGCTAAGAGAAACAGCTGGGTAAATTGAATTCAAAAGCATCAGCCTGGGTCGGCTACCATTTTGCCTCTATTAAAATTGCCTTCCTCATTTTCGCATCATCTACAGAATTTAAGTCTCAGTTGGTTTGTGTTGCATCCCCTAGCAGTGGGTTGATGAGACATCACTTCAGGTATGGCTGGAAGGCCAGGGAGATGCAGCATCTTTGCAGGTTCGATGCAGGGAGGCTTCAGCTTGGCTAGTGGCTGGCAGCTGGCAAAAACACTTGCAAAACCAACCCACTCAATCTGGAGACGCTTGAAACTAATCATTCGCCGGGGTAGAAAGCATAGCCGCAACACCTTTGTTGCTACCATATGCTACCATAACTTTGTTGCTATGGAAGATGCTATCATAACTCACCAGTCAAGTGGCACGCAGACACCCACGTACAATCCTGTTACGCCTCTGCAAAAAAGATTAATGCACAAGTGTGGGGAGGGGAGTGGATTCTCCTCCTCCTTGCAATCAACTGGATGTTAATTTACCCAGAGGCAGAACCTGTTCGTCAGTCATTGCTAAACGTTATAGGTCTTGGTCTTGACCTTGGAATTAATGGGAACTAATGCCCCATTGAAGATCAAAGAGGGGATGGTAACGATGCGATAAGACCCTATCAGTAGCAGGACTGGGGCCTAAATCTATTCTTTGACATTAGAAATCAGGGAGAGTTGCAAGATTTCATAGAAAATGAGAGCAAGTTACAAGAACGAGGTGTGTGTTGTACTTGGAAGTGGTGTTTTACTTCATTAGCTCCGTACATATTTAGGTATCTTTTTAAATTATAACTTGTCTTTAGTGCTTGAGTGATACTTTTTCCTCCTCTTACTGAGCCTCTTTTTGACTTATAGGAACATGAAAGAAGGAACGTAAAGCAAGGAAATCTGTTGTTTTGCAATTACAAGAAAAAGGAAAAGGCACTGTTTTTTTTTAAAGCTTATTTTAAAAATATTGCTACTCCTCAGCTCAGACTTATGTCAAATCTGAGCCCAGAGCCAATTTTTACAAATAGAGGTGGTATTGGCTGTTCAATAGAGACATAGGTGTGTAATGAGAGTGCTGACACAATTGTAACTATAGCATTGCACATTGCCTGACCTCGCCACTCAATCTGCATCTGAGATCCAGGATAAATAACTTTTGCCCTTAAGTGCTTGAATACGATTCTTTAACAGTGGTCGGATGAAAGTGTCTCTATTAAATTTATCAGAACATGCTGAGTTCCAAAGAATATACCTGGAAGCAAACAGATATATTTACTGTTTCCGATAAATATGATTGTTTTTAGGCCCTATTGTCATATCAAATTAAAAACCGCTATAGGAGTTCTCCTTGAAAAT